GCCGACATCCTTCAAGACCTCCTCCAGCTCCAAGACGTGCCACCCCAAAGGCACTTGACGAAGATGCCAAAGGCCCCGCCTAGCAACATTACGCGAATCCCTAGGATCGATGCGAACCGCCAGTCGCTTGCCATCGTAGTGCAGCCCCATCTCGCCCGCACCGGCCACGACCCTCCGCAGATAGAGGCAATGGAGTTCATCAGGGAGTTGCTGTTCCCAAAGCAAAGCCGGCTGATTGAGCGTCAAATCCGACCACCGAAGAGGCTGACAAAAGAAAGCCGTGCCACCTAGAAGCCGGCCTCCCGCCGCAAGCAACGACCGAGCCGCCGTCGGAGACAGGCGAAGCAAGCCCTTCACCATCCCGCCGGGCTGAGGAGACTGCGAATCGTCGCCGGTTTTCTCCCAACCCCAGCAATCAAGAAGATCAGCCGGCGGAACACCGGCACGAGCCATCCAATCCCTGATCGCGGCACCGGGCTTGTGCACAATCTTCTTCCACCTATCAGTGTCAGAGAAACGCTGCGCGCACACAGCCCGCACCACCACGGAGTCCTCGTAGACGTTGCTTTTCTTGGGCGCCTTAGCTGCAATGAAGTCAACCTCCAGGTCCAAAGGCAAGTCACCAACCACAGGCTTGCCCTTAGTCCAAGCCACCACCCAGCACCGCCGAAGCTTCAGACCGCCACGGAGGATACCCGGCAGACTCTTGTGATCGACTGGAAAGTCCCGCTGCAAAGCATCCAGAGGAGTACAGGCCTGGCCATCAAACACAAGAAGTGAGGAAGGGTGACAGCCCCCCCGCATCAAGTCACCGAAGTCCTCAAGGCACTGGGGGTCGTCGGTGTAAACTAGCACAGGCTCACCCTTGTCAAGTTCCACCTCAAGCGCCTCGGTCGTCGTGATCACCTTGTTGAAGTTGAGGTCTCCAGGGCGAAGCTTCCACTTGACCTCCTGCCAACCATCACGCTGCCACCGACGGGCACGAGCTGTAGGGGGAGGCGCAACCGCATCGCGACTCCCATTGCCCTTGCCTTTGCCACCAGCTTTCTCGCCCTTGCCCGAAGCATCAGGCCGAGCAGCCAAGCCAGCAGAACCCTCAGTATCAGCATTCTTGCCTTTGCCTTTAGTCGCAACTTGCAGCCCTAGTCGAGCCTGCTCCTCAGTAGCAGCTTTCTTGCCCTTGCCCTTTGGCGCCGCTCGCTGCTCGACACCAGCAGCACCCTCACCATCGTCACGTCGTCGCTGTCGTCGCCACTTGTCGCCGAAGCCGGTCTCAGCCTCATGGCCAGCACCCTCGCGAGGCTCTGGGTCAGCCCCCCGGCGCCGCCAAGGAGGATGAGCAACACCATCAATCCCTTTGCCTTTGCCCTTGCCCGGGCCAAGCGCACTCTCGAGTCCCTCCGAAAGCACAGGTTGCAACAGCTCTTGCACAACGGTCCTAAGCATAGGCATGAAAGCTGAAAGCAGAGCGCTCGAGCCAGCCCCAGAAAGAGCTTGCATAAGTGCCTGCTTCTGCATCTTAACTCGCTTTGCACGGCGAGCCCCTCCAGGCCCTGGGTTTGCTGCCTCCCCGATGCGCCATCCACACATAGGCTCAATACGTTCCCACCCGGCACGGTACTCACTGCAGACAGAAAGTGACATGCAAGCACCATGCCTCCAGTCCTGTCCTGGCGTAGTGCACCCCAAAGGCGCCCCAAGGCGCGGTTCCACAGGCACCTGAGTAAGCAGCGGTCCAGCAATCCACAGCAAGCAAAGCACCACCCAGCAACCAGCCCAAGGCCACCGAGGCGACCGGCAGTGATGTCCATGGCGGCGCCGGGAACTACGAGAGGCACAGGGGAGCCCCGAAGGGCTAGGTGTGCGCGAGCTACAGCGATACACGAGTGGCCCACCAGGCTCTGCATTTTCCTTCTTGTCGGCCCTGTGGCCCATACTACACACGAGTGGCCGCGCAGGCTCTGCATCTTCCTTCTTGTCGGCCCTTGGGCTCTTCAGCTTTCTTCCGGTCTTCGGGTCGGAGCCCATTCTCACGGCTCCCAGGCTCTTGCATGAAAACAAGCAGACGCGCTTACGCCTACTGGCATCACACTGCACATCCCGCCTAAGCTCAGCCCTCAAGCCAGGCGGCACCACAGCAGCAGCCAGCAACAGCCTCCGCACACGAGAATCACGATCTCGAAGTCGTCGCCTCCACCATCGATGCTCGCGAAGGCGTCGTCGCCCAATCCAGCGAGCAGCTCGATGCCCAAGTCGAAGGCAGCGCCACCCAAGCTGCCGTGCACGTTTCTTCCCAATCCTCCGTCGCTCCTGAAGAACAAGAGCACGCCGAGCACGACGCCGTAAGGCATCCAAGCGAAGCCTGACCGGAAGCTGAAGAGGACGCCCAAACCTCCTCGTCGGTCGGCTTCGATTCACAAAGAGAGCAGAAGCTAGCCAGCCGGTGCAAATGCCGGCACCAAGGATCCCACAGCTTGCAACCAGCGCGGCGCCCCAGCCGCTGCTGGCCCAAACCTGCATGGGCTCTTGCCGTGCAGGACAGGTGATCGTGACTAAAGCCAGGAGCCAGATGGCATGCCAAAGCCACCATCCAGCACCACGAAAGAGGATGTACTTCGCCGTGCCCTGTCCAGTGTCAAACACAAGGCACCCCGGGGCCACCAACTTGGAGGTGTCATCTTGGCCCCTTAAGCTCCTCAAGATACTCATCTGCTCCGTAGAAGATGGATGCCTTGCTATGGGCGGCCTTCTTGCCTTCCTTACCCAGGAGCGGCGCGCTGGTCGCCATGGATGCAACGACAAAAGAAAACTGTTAGCTTGTTGAGCCTGACTTCTTGCGAGCATTGGGGTCCAGAGACCCAATACCGTCCCTCAAGTCATAACTGTTATAACTATACCTTGACCGTTCTCATGGTTTGGGCCCTCTGAAAAGAAGGCGCGCCCCAACACGAATCCCAGTCTGGCAACATCCGCTCTGTTCACAGGGGTCCTGCAATCGCTTGGCGATGTCCTCCTCGACGATGCCGGACTTCTTTCGGATGTCTGAGAAGTCCATGATGAACCTTAGTATATCCACATGGCCTTTCGTTGCTGCAATTGCTATGGGTATGGCTTTGGCGAAGGCTGTCATTAGTACTGCTACTGTTATGGTTGCTGTTTCCGCCACAATTGCAATTACCACAGCAGATGCTATTGCTGTTTGTATTGCCATGGTTGTGCCATGGCACTGCTGTTGCTGCTACTGCTGCTGCTTCTACTACTGCTGCTACCACTACTATACTGCTGATACCACCACCACCACCACGACCACGACCGCGACCACGACCACAGCCACCACTACCACGACCACGACCACTACCGCTACCGCTACCACAACGCCTACCAGCACGACGACGACGCCGACGCCTATTACTACGACTGCGACTGCTACTGTTACTACTGCTGCTGCTGCTGCTGCTGCTACTACTACTACTACTACTACTACTGCCACTGCCACGACAACCACCACCAACAACAACACCACTACCACCCACCACCACCACACCACACCACCATCCACCACCACCAGCAGCACGAGCACCAGCACCAGCACGAGCACCCAACACCCACCACCACCCACCACCACCAACCACCCACCACCACACACCACCCACCACCACCACCACCACCACCGCCACCACCATACCCTAAACACTAAACAATCTGGCTTGCGATCAAGAAGCTCGTGGGCGCAGCGATTGTTCTTGTTGGTTGGGGCAATGTCGAAGTGAGGCTCCAGCCGAGACTTCATGTAGTTTGCGTTCCTTGGTAGGGTTCAGTGGCCTCAGGGTTTCGGGCCTGCGGCTTGGGGTTAAGGGTTTATAGTAAACCCCAAAAACTTGGAAACCGGAAAAAAGGACAAATAGTGCTGGGATTCCCTATACATTACTCTTCAGGATTGAGGCTATTGGGTTTCCAACTTTTGGGCTCCTACTGTAGGGTTTTAAGGGTGTAGGACTCTGGGCTTGAAGCTTCGAGTTCCAATTTGTAAATCACCGCATCGCTGCAAGTCTCCTGCGTGCATGTTTTCACCCCGCAAAAGCCGCAGCCATGCTGCCAAAAATGTGACGGGCAATGCGGAGCTAATTGGAATAGGATTTCGGTGCAGATTATAGCACACTATGTAGGGACTACAAGCAAAACGACTACTAACTGTTAAGGCCTATATGTAAACGATATCAACACAGGCGATTAAGAACAACCAGAACAATAACAAAACAAAATAGTAACTGCAACAACATTTATAACAATGATAGAAGTACTAACGATAGTGTTTGTACATAATCATAGAAACATGAAGAGCTGGACGTGACACTGGCCAACAAGCTTCAGGATGGAGTAACGCCCGCTGTCCAGCACTCCCTGCTTGCCCAACATGGTGCAGAACATCCTGGGATGAGGGGTTTGAGATGGTTCAGCCTTTTGGGGTAATTTGAGGCTTGCTTAACTTGGGGTGCAGGGCTGAGGACGTTGGGCTCCACAGGACAATCCAGGACAGCATCTAAGTGGCCTAGACCTTCCGAGACTCCCGAAGCAACACTGCCAAAGGTTCACTGTTCTTGGTTGCCGCACTCTGGGGATTGCTATACTTTACGGGAGGATTGCCCCCGAGGTTCGGTCTAAAATGTATGTATGCATGTATATGTATGTATGCATGTCTGTATGTATGCAGGGAGGCAGGGAGGTAGGCAGGTGGGGAGGTTGGTAGGTAGGCAGGCAGGCGGCTAAGTAGCCTAAACCCTAAACCCTAAAAGGAAGGTAGCTAAGTACCCTAAACCCTAAACCCTAAAAAGGAAGGTAGCAAAGCAACCTAAACCCTAAACCCTAAAAAGGAAGGTAGCAAAGCACCCTAAACCCTAAACCCTAAAAAGGAAGGTAGCTAAGTACCCTAAACTCTAAACCCTAAAAGGAAGGTCGGTCTCATTCAGAAGCCCCCGACTCTGAAAAGCTTGCATTCCAAGCAGCCAAGGGATGCACGCGATGCCGGCCTGCGGAACGTCTCTCATACTTAAAGGGTTTAGGGTTTAGGGTTAAGGGTTTAGGGTTAGGGTTTTAAAGGGTCATGGGACTTAGCACACAGAGTTGTATGGAGGTCTTGTTTCGCTGTGTGCGGATTAGCTTTATGTGTAGTTCTATTCTGTTTTGCAGGGTAAACATGCCTTCAAAGGGATGACAATCATCTTTGTACTAGAGTTGCTACCCAAAGAACCTTCCTAGCCTATAAACAGACGAAATAGCCTCTAATAAACGGTACATCTCCTATCGATTAACAGGCTAAGACGATTCTTTGGGTAGGTCCGGTGACCTTCTTGTACGGCTTAGAGGGTCAAGAGTTTGGGGTTGAGGAGATGGTGGAATAACTCGTCTTCTTCATAGCTCGCAAATTGAACTATCTATGGGCCTCTGATGAATCTGCGTTGAGGTCTCTTTCCTGTTTGTTTAAGACTCCTTGGCTTGGTAGGGAGAAGCACAATGCGGCTCTCGAAATCGTGGCTAGCAGACACACCGCTTGCCCAAAAAAGCCTTCAAACTGCGCAGAGCAGCCCGGGACGGCTTTCAACACATGCTAAAGAACCCTAAACCCAAAACCCCAAATCCAAAACCTTATAAACCCTAAACCCTAGACTCTATAAACCCTAA